GGATCAGGTAAAACGGGCCGGCGGGGCCTTGAGCCCCCCGGGACCCCTCCCCGAGCCCCCCCAGGCGGGGGGGGTTGGGGGCTTTTTGCCTCTTTATTTTTTTGCTGTCAGGTGCTGCCTCCGGCACTTGATCCCCCTGGGCTGCCTGAAGCAGAGCCCACAGGTTTTGTGTCCCCAGCAGCTCGGTTCTGGAACCGAATTGATGCAAAACCAGCCTTCAGTCCGAGGGCAGGACCTGTTCTCCAGTCAGAACAGCACGAAACCACTTGAAGGGGATGACAGTCCCGGTGCACAAGCCCCCCTCGCAGGGGGGGTCGGGGCTGCGTTTCCCAGCTGGTGGTTAAAGCTCCTTCCCTGCTGCCCTGACCCTCCAGCAGCCACGAGCCCCGTGGTTTCACTTCACTGGAGGCTCAGGAGTGCCCACTGAGGAAATTGAACTGTTCAAAGTCTCCTCCCCAGCTCCAGGGCCTTGTCCCATCACGTTCCATCTTGCTCGGCCGGATCCTCCTCCCTCAGGAACCACACAAAGGCCTCTCAGGCCCATCTCTGGTGCACAATCCAGCCCAACATGTGTATTTATGGTGTTTAAACCTGGACAACTAACTTCTCCCTGCTTTTTAGGAGCAGCAGCAGCAGGGCTGGACCCGGGGGTGCCCCTCTGAGGAGCCCTGTGACCCCCCAGCAGATCTCCCTGCAGACAGGAACGTGACCAGCAGCTCTGGGGCAGCTGCTTCTTTTGGGATCAACCTGCTGTAAATCAGAGCACCAGCCAGGAACCCTTGAGGTAAGACCCAGTTGTCTAATTTGGGGTTTTTTCCCCTGCACCCCTTGTTGTTGAGCCAGCACCTCCTTCCCAGCACCACCAGTAGCACTGCCAGGCCCACACCAGCCACCGCCCCCCCCAGTTCCTGCCCACCCAGGGATGGGTCTCAGCTCCCCACCCAGCCCCAACACCCCCTTGGCTCTGGGCTCACTCCCACCCCTGTGTCCCTCAGCCCCTTTTCATGGAGCCCCTGCCAGCTCTGATTCCCCACTTCCCTGTGCTGGGATCTCCAGAGCTGCCCCTCATCTCAGCCCCACAGCCCACTGGGGTCCCTTCTGGCCCTGGCCTGGTGCCCCCCATGGGGCTTGGGACAAGCCCAAAGGCTTGAAGTTGTGGACCCACCTCAGATCTGGGTGTTGAGCTTCCCCCTCCTATGTGGGAAGTGGCCTAAAGTTGCCCAGGGGAGGTTGAAGTTGGATGTTAGGAGGAATTTCTTCCCCAAGACAAAGCTCCTCAACTCAGAGCAACCCCTTGGGGAGGCCACTGGTGCAGACTGGTCCTGCCAGGGGATGCAGGGGGCTCCTCTAAGCCATTTCTGCATGGTTTGCACCCCAAAAATGCTGAGCAGTGAGCAAGTCACCTGGTAATTCCTGTTCTCCCAGGCTGGGGGGTGCCTGAGCTGGGCTGCAGGGCAGAGCCCCCCACTAACCCCCCACTTCCAGTGCCCACGTGTTGGGGGGGTCCAACAGGCTGTGTCACAGCCTGGCTTTGGGGGAGGCTGGTTTTGGGCTGTCCCCCAAAGAAATCAGCTCATCTCTCAGGAGGCTGGTAAAGGTTGAGCTGGGGACAAGGGACCCTCTTGCAGCCATTTGGGCAGGGGGGAGAGTGGTTTGGCAGGAGGAGCTGAACTGGATGAGAGGTTGTTAGTTGGTTCATTGCTGATCTTTTAATCTCTTAATCCTTCTCTGGGTGGTAATGATTGAATCAGAGGAGTTGGGGACCTGCCTTGGATGTGGGGCATTGAGCTTCCCCCTTCTAGGTGGGAAATGGCCTCAAGTTGCCCCAGGGGAGGTTGAGATTGGATTTTAGGAATCATTTCTTCCCCAAAGAGTTGTCAGGCCCTGGCCCAGGCTGCCCAGGGCAGGGGGGGAGTCCCCATCCCTGGAGGGGTTTCCAAGCCCTGGAGATGGTGCTGAGGGACATGAGTTAGTGCTGGGTTAATGGTTGGACTGGATGATCTTAAGGCCTTTTCCAACCAAAACAATTCCATCATTCCATTCAGAGTTAATGGGGCTTTCACAGTGTCTGTACAGCTGCTCTGCCTGGTTTCCCCTCTGAGTCCAGAATGAAGAGTCTGTGTTCTTCCAAAACTGGTAGCTCAGCCCCCCCGGAACCCCCCAGCCCTCCTGCCTGTCCTCTGAGCTCCTTTCAAAGGGGAATTCATGTGTCCCCACATCAGCCCTGCCTTGGGGAAGGAGTCATTATGCAGTTACCAGAACCCAGGTCTGCTTTGGAGCCAGGAGGGCTTCTCCTGACACTTGGGAACACCACCAGGTCCCCTTGGGTGGGCTGTGCTTGGATGTGCCTTGTTCCACCTTGACACCTTAACTGGCTTATCAGTGAGGAGGGGGACTTGGGGGGTCCCAACATAAGAAGGACATGGAGCTGCTGGACACTGAGGAAATTGAACTGTTCAAAGTCTCCTCCCCAGCTCCAGGGCCTTGTCCCATCACGTCCCATCTTGCTGGGCCGGATCCTCCTCCCTCAGGAACCACACAAAGGCCTCCCAGGCCCATCTCTGGTGCACAATCCAGCCCAACATGTGTATTTATGGTGTTTAAACCTGGACAACTAACTTCTCCCTGCTTTTTAGGAGCAGCAGCAGCAGGGCTGGACCCGGGGGGGCCCCTCTGAGGAGCCCTGTGACCCCCCAGCAGATCTCCCTGCAGACAGGAACGTGACCAGCAGCTCTGGGGCAGCTGCTTCTTTTGGGATCAACCTGCTGTAAATCAGAGCACCAGCCAGGAACCCTTGAGGTAAGACCCAGTTGTCTAATTTGGGGTTTTTTCCCCTGTACCCCTTGTTGTTGAGCCAGCACCTCCTTCCCAGCACCACCAGTAGCACTGCCAGGCCCACACCAGCCACCGCCCCCCCCAGTTCCTGCCCACCCAGGGATGGGTCTCAGCTCCCCACCCAGCCCCAACACCCCCTTGGCTCTGGGCTCCCTCCCACCCCAGTGTCCCTCAGCCCCTTTTCATGGAGCCCCTGCCAGCTCTGATTCCCCACTTCCCTGTGCTGGGATCTCCAGAGCTGCCCCTCATCTCAGCCCCACAGCCCACTGGGGTCCCTTCTGGCCCTGGCCTGGTGCCCCCCATGGGGCTTGGGACAAGCCCAAAGGCTTGAAGTTGTGGACCCACCTCAGATCTGGGTGTTGAGCTTCCCCCTCCTATGTGGGAAGTGGCCTAAAGTTGCCCAGGGGAGGTTGAAGTTGGATGTTAGGAGGAATTTCTTCCCCAAGACAAAGCTCCTCAACTCAGAGCAACCCCTTGGGGAGGCCACTGGTGCAGACTGGTCCTGCCAGGGGATGCAGGGGGCTCCTCTAAGCCATTTCTGCATGGTTTGCACCCCAAAAATGCTGAGCAGTGAGCAAGTCACCTGGTAATTCCTGTTCTCCCAGGCTGGGGGGTGCCTGAGCTGGGCTGCAGGGCAGAGCCCCCCACTAACCCCCCACTTCCAGTGCCCACGTGTTGGGGGGGTCCAACAGGCTGTGTCACAGCCTGGCTTTGGGGGAGGCTGGTTTTGGGCTGTCCCCCAAAGAAATCAGCTCATCTCTCAGGAGGCTGGTAAAGGTTGAGCTGGGGACAAGGGACCCTCTTGCAGCCATTTGGGCAGGGGGGAGAGTGGTTTGGCAGGAGGAGCTGAACTGGATGAGAGGTTGTTAGTTGGTTCATTGCTGATCTTTTAATCTCTTAATCCTTCTCTGGGTGGTAATGATTGAATCAGAGGAGTTGGGGACCTGCCTTGGATGTGGGGCATTGAGCTTCCCCCTTCTAGGTGGGAAATGGCCTCAAGTTGCCCCAGGGGAGGTTGAGATTGGATTTTAGGAATCATTTCTTCCCCAAAGAGTTGTCAGGCCCTGGCCCAGGCTGCCCAGGGCAGGGGGGGAGTCCCCATCCCTGGAGGGCTTTCCAAGCCCTGGAGATGGTGCTGAGGGACATGAGTTAGTGCTGGGTTAATGGTTGGACTGGATGATCTTAAGGCCTTTTCCAACCAAAACAATTCCATCATTCCATTCAGAGTTAATGGGGCTTTCACAGTGTCTGTACAGCTGCTCTGCCTGGTTTCCCCTCTGAGTCCAGAATGAAGAGTCTGTGTTCTTCCAAAACTGGTAGCTCAGCCCCCCCGGAACCCCCCAGCCCTCCTGCCTGTCCTCTGAGCTCCTTTCAAAGGGGAATTCATGTGTCCCCACATCAGCCCTGCCTTGGGGAAGGAGTCATTATGCAGTTACCAGAACCCAGGTCTGCTTTGGAGCCAGGAGGGCTTCTCCTGACACTTGGGAACACCACCAGGTCCCCTTGGGTGGGCTGTGCTTGGATGTGCCTTGTTCCACCTTGACACCTTAACTGGCTTATCAGTGAGGAGGGGGACTTGGGGGGTCCCAACATAAGAAGGACATGGAGCTGCTGGAGGGAGACCAGAGGAGCCACAGAGATGCTGGGAGGGCTGGAGCAGCTCTGCTCTGGAGCCAGGCTGGGAGCGGTGGGGTGTTCAGCCTGGAGAAGAGAAGGCTCCAGGGAGCCCTTAGAGCAGCTTCCAGTGCCTGAAGGGGCTCCAGAAAGCTGGGGAGGGACTTGGGACAAGGGCAGGGAGGGATGGGATGAGGGGGATGGATGAAAAGTGGGAGAGGGAGATGGAGGTTGGAAATGAGGAGGGAAATCTTTGGTGTGAGGGTGGTGAGAGCCTGGCCCAGGTTGCCCAGGGCAGCTGTGGCTGCCCCATCCCTGGCAGTGTTGAAGGGCAGGGTGGATGGGGCTTGGAGCAGCCTGGGCTGGTGGGAGGTGTCCCTGCCCATGCAGGGGGGTTGGAATTGGATGATCTTGAAGGTCCCTTCCCACCTAAACCACCCGATGATCCTATGATAGTTAATTAACAATTGCTAATGAACCCTGTGCATCCTGAAAGCCACCTGTGCCCTCCTTGAGCAGGTGTGAGGAGAAGAGCCAGGATGTCACATCGCACCATCCACCTGTTCCGGAAGGGACTTCGGCTCCACGACAACCCAACCCTGCTGGCTGCCCTGGAGTCCTCCCAAGTCATCTACCCTGTCTACATCCTGGATGAGAAGTTCATGACATCAGTCATGCACATGGGGACCCTGAGGTGGCATTTTCTGCTGCAGTCCCTGGAAGATCTGCAGAAGAACTTGTGTCAGCTGGGTTCCTGCTTGCTGGTTCTTCAAGGAGAGTATGAACTTGTTCTTAGAGATCATGTCCAGAAGTGGAAGATCACCCAAGTGACTCTGGATGCAGAGATGGAACCATTTTACAAGGAGATGGAGGCCAACATACGACATCTGGGAGATGAGCTGGGCTTTGAGGTGCTCTCCCTGGTGGGCCACACTCTGTACAACACCCAACGGTACGTGGTTGCCCCAAAGTCACAGGGTGCTGGGGGTTGGAAGGGACCTCTGGAGATCATCCAGTCCAACCCCCCTGTAGAGCAGGGTCATCTACAGCAGATCCCACAGGAACACATCCAGAGGGGTTGGGATGTCTCCAGAGAAGGAGACTCCAGCACCTCCCTGGGCAGCCTGTCCCAGGGCTCTGTTACTCAAGACCAGTGAGGTGTCTTCAGGAAAGCTGATCAAGAATCAGGGTGAAAAGGTCAATTATTTTGATCTTTTTGGATCCTAACAAGGTCCTTTGCAGAAAACTGAACTATCTGAGGTAAACGTGGCTCTGTTTGCTGGAGAACTGGGTTCTCACCCAGTTGGAGGCTGAGTTGTCACCTTCCTATCCATGGGCCTACAGGAAAGCTGGGGAGGGACTTGGGACAAGGGCAGGGAGGGATGGGATGAGGGGGATGGATGAAAAGTGGAAGAGGGAGATGGAGGTTGGAGATGAGGAGGGAATTCTTTGGTGTGAGGGTGGTGAGAGCCTGGCCCAGGTTGCCCAGGGAAGCTGTGGCTGCCCCATCCCTGGCAGTGTTGAAGGGCAGGTTGGATGGGGCTTGGAGCAGCCTGGGCTGGTGGGAGGTGTCCCTGCCCATGCAGGGGGTTGGATCTAGATGATCTTGAAGGTCCTTTCCGACCCAAACCAGTCTGGGATTCCATGATTCCTGGTTTCTATTATGGTGAAAAGTGATTTACTTGTAGGATTTTGGAGCTGAATGGGGGGAACCCTCCCCTGACCTACAAGAGGTTCCTTCACATTCTGTCCCTGCTGGGTGACCCGGAGGTGCCAGTCAGAAGTGTCACAGCTGAAGACTTCCAGTAAGTGGCACTTCACCAGCAGGAAGTGGCAGATCCTTTTCCTCTGCCCAAAACTAAGAGCCAGGGCTCCAAAACTGGGGGTGTTTGGGGTGTTTTGGGTGTTTATTCCTGTGCCTGGTGGGTTGTTGATGCACAAGGGTTGGGATCCTGTTGTCAGGAGGGGAAAGTGACACAGCCCAAGGGGTTCAGCTTTTCCACAGCTCATGGAGACACATTTTTAAGGCATTTAGGAATTGAACAGGGCAAAGAATAAAGACCTACAGGTCTCTCACCAAGGCTTGCTCAATATTCTTCTGAAATCAAGGGTTAGGGCAGGAACTGGATGAACCACTTGCTTGTTTTATGAAGGAATTTTGGTGCAATGGTCACACTGGTCCCTCCTGGTTTTCAATCTTTGCTCCTCTCTGCTGTGTGGAAGGAGGGGCTGAGCTCATGTCTCCCAGGGCTTGAGAAGAAGCTCAGGATGTTTATCTCTGCATGAGGAGAGGTCAGGGATCCAAAGGGAGGTGAGATTGGGTCAGGAGAGAGCTGGTCCCTGGGGGTGGGACTGCAGGCACTTGGGACACCTGAGCCAGGTGCCTCCTGTGTCACCTCAGCTCTGTGTTGGTGACCAAGACTCTGGGCTTCCCATCTTGGGAGGAACCTCTGAATTCCAGCACCTTGTCCTCAGTGATCCCCCAATGATAAGACCCATGGAAATATTGGGATATTTAAATTCTTAGATTTTTTTTTCTTGCCCTGGGTTGTGGTGGGTTCCTCCCCCCCTCCAATTTTTGCCCAAATTTGTTTGTTTCCACTTGGAAAAATGAAGGATGATGAGAGATCAGTGGTTCACCTGCTTCCCAGGTGGTCCCTTCTCCTGTAGGTGTCTCCACCAGAGCTGAGCTCAGGTTGCTCAGGTGAGTAGAAAGGTCTCCACTGCTACCTGAGATCATTCCTGGGCTTTTAGGAATCCTCATCCCTGAACCCCTTCCTCTGGGGAGGGGGAAAAAGCACATCCTGATGCTCTTCCATTCCTTGGGGAAGCCTCAGCTGAGATCTGAGGGGGACTGCTCAGATTTGGGCTTGGGGAACCCCCACCTTGGTTAGGAGGGAGCAGCTGTGGAGGTGGCCCAGGGAGCTGAGCTGCCTCCTTCCCTGTGTCACATCTCCCAGAGTCACCATTCCCCATAATTGTGTCTAGAGCTTGAGGAGACTCTGGGCCCCTTCCTGGGGGTGGATGAGAGGTGGGGAAGCTGGAGAGGAGGCACCAGAGGGAGCAGATGGGAAGGGAGGGGTGTTGGAGCTGTGGGGGCTGCACCAGCTGCTCGCAGCCCCATCATTTGCTGGGGCAGTTCCTCCTCCCCCAGTTCAGGCCAGAATCACCCAGAATGGTGGCAGGACAAGCTCTTTCTCCCCCAGGAAGTGCAGCCTGGGCTCTCTGGCTCTGCTCTCCTCCCCTTGCACCCTGGCTGGGCTGGGACAGGGGACACCTTGGTGCTGCCATGGGCAGGTTCTTCCTCCCTCCTCTGGCTCTGGTTCCTCTTTGAGAGGGGTCTTCCTTCCACTTCAGGAGATGCAGGCCCCCTGACCCGGGCCTGGCTGGGTGTCACAGGGTGCCTCTCCCTGTGGATTTGAAGATCCCCCTGGAGAACCTTTCCCCCTGGAGAGGAGGGGAGACCGAAGGGCTGCGGCGCCTGGAGCGACACTTGACTGACCAGGTCAGCCTGGGCTCCACGTGGGGCTGCTGGTGGCTCTGGGTGGGCTGAGGTCACAGTGGTGGGGGTTGGAAGGGACCTCTGGAGATCATCCCGTCCAACCTCCTGCTAGAGCAGGGTCACCTAGATCAGATCCCACAGGAACACATCCAGAGGGGTTGGGATGTCTCCAGAGGAGGGGACTCTACCACCTCCCTGGGCAGCCTGTCCCAGGGCTCTGTAACCCTCACAGCCAACAAGTTCCTCCTCATGTTCAGCTGGAACCTCCTGTGCTCCAGTTTGTGCCCAGTGCCCCTTGTCCTGTCCCTGGGCACTGCTGGGAAGAGTCTGGCCCCATCCTGCTGACACCCCTGGAGATATTGAGGAGGGTTGATGAGATCCCCCCTCAGTCTCCTCCTCTCCAGCTGAACAGCCCCAGCTCTCCCAGCCTTTCCTCACAGGCAGGTCCATGTCAGGTCACTGTCCTTTTATGCCTGGTCATGTCTAGACCTCAAGACACTGCTCAGCTCTTCCAGCTGGGTTGTTCCCCACAGGGCTCTGGGCAGCCTTGGTGGTGGCTGCTTTTAAGATGTTTCACCCACCCCCAGTTCCATGAAGTGGAAAAGACCTTCAGTGAGGTGCAGTTGCACCAAGGGAGCTGCTCCCTGTGCTACAAAACCAGCTGGTCCTCTAGGGAGAGCAGAGCTTCATGGCACCCATGGGTTGGATGTGGTCTTGACTTTGGGCTTGGAGAAGGTCCATGTATGTGGAGGAGGGTGGCAGCCTGGGCTCAAGGCTTTCTTGTCCTTGATGGGACAGCATCCTTGTTGGGAGAATGGGCATGATATAGAGTCACAAGAGTGGTTTGGGCTGGAAGGGACCTTCAAGATCATGTAGATCCAATCCCCTGCATGGGCAGGGACACCTCCCACCAGCCCAGGCTGCTCCAAGCCCCATCCAACCTGCCCTTCAACACTGCCAGGGATGGAGCAGCCACAGCTTCCCTGGGCAACCTGGGCCAGGCTCTCACCACCCTCACACCAAAGAATTCCCTCCTCATCTCCAACCTCAACCTCCCTCCTCCACTTTTAACCCATCCCCCTTTCACTGAACCAGCCTCTGTGACCCAGGAGCCCCCTGCCAAGAGCTTTTCCATGTTTCACCCCCTGGACACGTGTCACCTCCTCCTGCCTGAACCTGGATTTCCTATTTCATTTTAGGGCTGGGTGGCCAATTTCACCAAACCCAGGACAATCCCCAATTCTCTGCTTCCAAGCACCACGGGCCTGAGCCCCTATTTCAGTTTGGGCTGCTTGTCAGTTCGGACCTTCTTCTACAGGTTGTCCAACATTTATGCTCAGGTAAGGAGAGGATTGCTCCCAAATCCAGAACCTTCAGGTGGGATTTATCACCTGGGGCATCTTGGTGGGATCTGGTGCCTCAAAAAATGCTGCTTGGCTTTGTCTTCTCAGGAGGTGCTGTGGAACCTGGGGTTTGTGTGACACCTGTGAGAGGGTTGTGTGTTGTGTGACACCTGGGAGGGGGTTTGTGTGTGTTGTGTGACACCTGGGAGGGGGTTTGTGTGTGTTGTGTGACACCTGGGAGGGGCTTTGTGTGTGTTGTGTGACACCTGGGAGGGGCTTTGTGTGTGTTGTGTGACACCTGGGAGGGGTTTGTGTGTGTTGTGTGACACCTGAGGGGGTTTGTGTGTGTTGTGTGACACCTGAGAGGGTTTGTGTGTGTTGTGTGACACGTGAGGGGGTTTGTGTGTGTTGTGTGACACGTGAGGGGGTTTGTGTGTGTTGTGTGACACGTGAGGGGGTTTGTGTGTGTTGTGTGACACCTGGGAGGGGGGGGGGGTTTTTGTGTGTTGTGTGACCCGTGGGGGGGGGTTTGTGTGTGTTGTGTGACCCCTGAGGGGGTTTGTGTGTGTTGTGTGACACCTGAGGGGGCTTGGGGGGGGTGTTGTGTGACACCTGTGAACATCTACGGCTTGTCCCAGTTTTGAGAACAATTAGCAGCACTGAGACCTGGAGGCAGCAGAGAAGCCCCTGAGAAGCTTTGCTTCTAGAAAGTCTCTGTTTGCATCTCAGACAAGTTTTAACAGGAGCATGAAGACAGGCTGGGAGAGTTGGGGTGTTCAGCCTGGAGAAGAGAAGGCTCCAGGGAGACCTTAGAGCAGCTTCCAGTGCCTGAAGGGGCTCCAGGAAAGCTGGGGAGGGGCTTGGGACAAGGGCAGGGAGGGATGGGATGAGGGGGATGGATGAAAAGTGAGAGAGGGGAGATTGAGGTTAGATATTAGGTAGAAATTCTTCACTCTGAGGGTGGTGAGGAGCTGGGATGGGTTGCCCAGGGAGGTTGTTGATGCCCCATCCCTGGAGGGTTTTAAGGCCAGGTTGGATGAGGTTTTGTGCAACCTGGTCTGGTGGTTCCCTGCTCATGGCAGGGGGGGTGGGACTGGATGATCTTTAAGGTCCCTTCCAACCTGAATGATTCCATGATTCTATGAGCCAAAAGCAATTCCTGAAAACTTGTTGAGTTCTTAAGAAATGGTTAAAGACACCCCAAGGAACCCAAGGTCTCCCTGAACCTCCTTCTTAAGAGTGTCATAATGGCTGAGCCACCTGAATTCTGCTAATTGAGCAGCTATGATGTTAATAACCAGGTTTGGTTTCAGAAATCCCAGAGTAAGACCAGTTTGGAAGGCAGATGGAGGAGGTTTGAGGGGACACTGAGGTCCAACAGAATTCAGCTTTGCTCCTGGGCATTGAGCATTGCTTCAGATCTTTGGTTCCTTTGGCTTCTGTGGGAAAGTGCCATGAAACCAGCAGGGTGATGAGATTAGTCTTTATTTAATGGGCCTGATAATCATAAAACCAAAGAGTCATGGGATGGTTTGGGTTGGAAGGGACCTTCAAGATCATCTGGATCCAACCCTCTGCATGGGCAGGGACACCTCCCACCAGCCCAGGTTGCTCCAAGCCCCATCCAACCTGCCCTTCAACACTGCCAGGGATGGGGCAGCCACAGCTTCCCTGGGCAAAGACCTTTGGGACTAATTCCATGGATCTTATGGATAAAACCACCAATGTGTCCTCAACTTGTATCTTCTCAGACATCTGTGGTCTGTATCACCTGAAGCTTTCACCTCGTGTCTCTCTCAGGCCAAGGATCACTCTCTGCCCCCAGTGTCACTCCAAGGGCAGCTTCTGTGGAGGGAATTCTTCTATACGGTGGCATCAGCCACCCCAAACTTCACCAGGATGGCTGGGAACCCCATCTGCCTCCAGATCAGCTGGTACGAGGACGCAGAGCAGCTCCACAAGTGGAAAACGGTAACAGGAGGTGTCACCTCGACTGTCAAGTGTCTCTGTTGCCCTGGGCCTGCTCCCTGCTGGCTCCTGGGGGGCATCGAGGAGAGGGTGGGCAGCAGGTCAGGGAGGTTCTCCTGCCCCTCTGCTCTGCCCTGGTGAGGCCACAGCTGGAGAAATGGGTCCAGTTCTGGGCTCTGCAGGTCAGGAAGGACAAGGAGCTACTGGAGAGGGTCCAGGGCAGGGCCAGCAAGTGCTGAGGGGACTGGAGCACCTGCCTGTGAGGAAAGGCTGGGAGAGCTGGGGCTGCTCAGCTGGAGAGGAGGAGCCTGAGGGGGGATCTCATCAACCCTCCTCAATATCTCCAGGGGTGTCAGCAGGATGGGGCCAGACTCTTCCCAGCAGTGCCCAGTGACAGGACAAGGGGCACTGGGCACAAACTGGAGCACAGGAGGTTCCAGCTGAACATGAGGAGGAACTTGTTGACTGTGAGGGTAACAGAGCCCTGGGACAGGCTGCCCAGGGAGGTGCTGGAGTCTCCTTCTCTGGAGACATCCCAACCCCTCTGGATGTGTTCCTGTGGGATCTGCTCTGGGGGATCCTGCCCTACAGGGGGGTGGATGATCTCCAGAGGTCCCTTCGAGCCCTGATGCCTCTGGGGTCAGTGTCAGGAGGGCTGATCTCTCCCTCTGCCCCAGGCACAGACGGGCTTCCCATGGATTGATGCCATCATGACCCAGCTGCGCCAGGAGGGCTGGATCCACCACCTGGCCCGGCACGCGGCCGCCTGCTTCCTGACCCGGGGGGACCTGTGGATCAGCTGGGAAGAGGGCATGAAGGTTCAGTCCTGGGCTTTGGGCTTCTTCTCTCTTCTGCCTTGAGCTTGAGGAGCACCCGTGAGACATGAGCCTGGCAGGGAGGTGGGACTGCAGAGCAGGGCGTCCTGGCTGAGCCTCAGCAGAAAGGAATCCCAGCCTGGCAGGGGTTAGGAGAGGGGGAAGGTGGGAATCCTGCACGTGGATCCAGGCTGGGGAGGGAGCAGCATCCATCCTCAGGCCTGCAAAAGTGGGAATTTGCCTCCTATGTTCCACAAAGTTGTATACATGGGAGTGGTGGGAGAGGTTCTCCTGCTCTCTGGAGCACAAGTCCAGCCTGGCTCGTTCCTGACCCCAGGAGGGATGGGGACGAGCACAAGGCTCCTTCCCAGTTAGTTATTTCACCATTTTAAGAGGAACAAGCCCAGAAAAGCTCCTGCAGCAGCATCCCAGCTGCCCCAGGTGGGCAATGGGACACCTCCCAGCAGCACAGGTTGCTCCAAGCCCCATCCAACTGGGTGGTAACTTGATAACTTCCTTATCAAGAAAGCAGGAGAAGGGCTCCAGTGACTGCAACTGCAGAGCAGCTTCTGGTGCTTCCCTTTTCCTTTGGAGCCAAAGGAAATTCTGGGCTGTCTGACAAACTGGCTGGAGAACCTTCCCTGGTGCCCTGGGAGAGGGTCCCCCAGGACAGTCCCAACCTTCACCCTTCACCTGCCATCCTGCTGGGGGTGGCTTTTTGGCAGGCAGAGCCACCTCAGGGGGGGGGGTTTCTCTCTTTCTCTTCCCCATCCCTGAAGTGCAGGTGTTTGAGGAGCTGCTCTTGGATGCTGACTACAGCATCAACGCTGGGAACTGGATGTGGCTCTCAGCCAGTGCCTTCTTCCACCAGTACACAAGGATCTTCTGCCCAGTTCGCTTTGGGAAGCGCACGGACCCCCAGGGCCACTACATCAGGTGGGACCTGGGAACCCCAACCCTGGGCTTCTCTTCCCCCCCTGCAGAGGGTCCCTCTGAGGCCAAGAGCTCCTCACAGGATTCCAGCCTGAGGAGCACAGAGGCCACCCCAGTGACACCTTGGGGTGGTTGGAGGTGCCTCATGAGCTCAGGCTCCCCCAAAACCCCCCAGGGTTCAGCCTTCCCTGGGAACTCCCAGTTTCTGCTGCAGCTGCTTCAGCTCTTCAGCAAACAAGGGCACCAGGCAAACTTGGGGCAGATCAGCTTCTCCAGGGCTTTTTGCTCATTTGTGCTCAGAGGGAATCTCAAATCATTCCTGCTTCAGGGC